TGATGTACTATGTCTCTCAAGCATCCTTCTTCCCGAATCCACCCTCATGGCAGATGGGATCGGTAAGCCAATTTCGAAGTCTGTCCAGACTTCTCTGAGCATCTGGCTTTGTTATGTGGAAATTAAATGGGTTCTAGCTAAGTCACTATCCAAGAAGCTCATATGACTAGGCCATTGCTGAGATATTTAATCCCAAACTCTCGCCCAGTACCGTATTTTTTGAGTACCAATCGCGTCCTTGTGGGCGAAACTGGGCTAGAGAATATAGCTGCGGCATGAGCATTAACTTAGCTAAGGCTTCTTGAACTAAAAGACGTGGTACACAAATTCGTCTGCCTAAGGCTCGGCAAGAACTTTATATAAGTTTTTATTTAGGAAGAAAAAGTTGTGCCACCCGCTCAGCCACTGCTCTACAGCCAGATTCCTTTCTATCAGACTAATCTTACGGACACGCCAGTGATCGTTGATATGATTGAGGTATTTTTGATCGCAGTCTTTTTTTCTTGGCTTCACAAACTCTTTCTCTTCAGGAAGTGCGCGAAGTTTGCGAGCGGTATACCGCAAACGGACTTTCAAACTTTCCATCAGGAATTGCCTTTACCTTCTGGGAGCAATACCTCTCTTTGAGGTAAGCTTTGACAACACCAAAAATGGATTTTCGAAAGAACTTCCTTGCATTAAGATGGAATCTGTTCTGTGCCATCTGTATCATCGCATTTGCTGTGTTCGCTGTCATTTCGATAATGATGTTCAATCCATGGGCTGCTGCTATGGTAAGTAGATTTTCGTTTTCAAAATCCTTTTTAAACATCATTTGCTCATCCATACATTACAGGTGATGGTGATTGTCGTGATTGTTACCATCGAGCTTGGAGGTTTTATGGGCTTACTAGGTGTGAAGATGAATCCAATCTCTGCCGTTACTCTCATCTGCGCTGTCGGAATCGGTGAGTTACGCGATAGTCAAAGGAATTGCTCACGCAAATATTCTATTCGGACCTTTGAAATGGATACTGCTCAGAGGCCCGTTATTAAGGCACCGTTCACCAAAATTTTGATGATGCATAATGGCGGTGCCCTTGGTTAAGTTATCCGCGGTTCCGTTGCAAATTTAATTTTTGAAAAGAGAAAATCGCCCAAAAGATATGAGCGCTAAGGTGGCTCCGCCTTGTAGGTGGTCTCAAAATAACAAGTCAAAGGGAGTTTTGATGTATCTAAAATAATATTGAATCGGCCTTTCACCTTGACTATTTGA